ATTCAGTTTTTCAATTTTTTTTTTCTGCTTTAAAGTTTGTTAACCCTTTCCTCTGATACTCAATCTGCTGTTAAGCCTATGAAATAAATTTTTGATTACATATATAGTACTTTTCAGTTTTTTTCTGGTGGTTATGAATTTGTCAATTTCATTAATTTTTTTCAAAGAACTACTTTTTAGTCATGTTAATTTTTGGTATCCCGAATTTGCATGCTATTTGATTAATTTCCATTCTCATATATATATATTTATTTTTCTACCTCTTTTTATTTGGGTTCTAATTTGCTGTTATTTTCTACTTTGATGATGAGAAAATTTGTTAGGTGTTAACCTACCTTCTTTTCTATTTGTATACATGCAAAGCAATAAATTACCGTTATAGTCAGCCTTTGCTACAACTTACATTTTGTAATTCTATTTTGCTACATCAGCTGTCTGTTTGTGATTTATGATACATACCTCCCATTCTTTTACATTTAACCTTTTGTGTCTTTATAGCTAAAGCATGTCTCTTGCCAACAGAATACAGTTCTTGATTTTGGTACTGTTAGCCAGTCTGACAATCTGAATATTTTCTTATTATATGTAGTTTATTACTTTTCCTATAAGTAGTGATATACTTTTATTTATTGTCATTTTGGATTAATCAAGTATGTTGGGTATTTTTTAAATTTCTCCCCTATTTATTTTTTGGTACACCATATGCTATTATGATTCTATCAGTTATCCTAATCTACAGAGTGCAATGTACATCTTTGGCTTACTACAGTCCATTGTAAATTAGTACTCTTACTGCTTCTTAAGTGATGCAAGAACCATATAAAGTTCCATTCCAGACATCACAATGTGCTTTCTATCTTTACATCATATTTTGTTATATATATGTAATAAACTACAAAACATAGCTATTATGTATGCTTTAAATGGTCAGTATTCTTTTTATATTTACCTTTTCAGTGTTCTTCATGCCTTTCTGCAGTTTTATGCTTCCATTATCAGTTTGTTTCCTTCAGCCTGAAAAATATCCTCTAAATTCCTAAAGTGCAGCTCATTAGAGAAAAGTTCTCTTAGCTTTTCTTGGGAGGCAGTCAGAATTCATATGTATTTCATCTTTATTTACAGGCATTTTTGTTATTTACATGAATCAGTTGGGAAGTTGTTTATTCCACACTTTAAAGATGTTGCTCCATTATTTTCCAGCTTTCAGAGTCTGTATTGAAAAGTTACCCACAATCTAATTTATTTTTGAAGGAACAATGTCATACATCCTCTGACTGCTGTTAAGACTTTTTTCTATTTCTCTTTGAGATCTTTGCATTTTGACTATGATGTGCCTTGGTGTGATTTTTTTTCTTGCTATGGAGTTCATTAAGGTGCTTCATTGTGTACACAGTCTTAATTACCTCTAGAAAATTTTCAGCTTTGTATATTCTGATTATTTTTCTGAAGCTGAGGCAGGAAAATTGCTTGAACCCGAGGCAGAGGTTGCGGTGAGCCAAGACCATGCCATTGCATTCCAGCCTGGGCAACAAGAGCAAAACTCCGTATCAAAAACAACCAAACAAAAAGGAAACAACAGATGCTGGAGAGGATGTGGAAGAATAGAAATGCTTTTACACTGTTGGTGGGAGTGTAAATTAGTTCAACCATTGTGGAAGACAGTGTGACGAATCCTCAAGGATCTGGAACCAGAAATATTATTTGACCCAGCAATCCCATTATTGGGTATATACCCAAAGGATTATAAATCACTCTACTGTAAAGACACATGCATACGTATGTTGATTGCAGCACTATTAACAGTAGCAAAGACTTGGAACCAACCCAAATGTCCATGTATCATAGACTCGATAAAAAAAAATGAGGCACATATACACCATGGAATACTATGCAGCCATAAAAACAGATGAGTTCATGTCCTTTGCAGGTACATGTATGAAGGTGGAAACAATCATTCTCAGCAAACTGACACAGGAACAGAAAACCAAACACTACATGTTCTCGCTCATAAGTGGGAGTTGAACAATGAGAACACATGGACACAAGGAGGGGAGCATCACATGCTGGGGCCTGTCAGGGCATGGGGCCTAGGGGAGGGATACTATTAGGAGAAATACCTAATGTAAATGACTGGTTGATGGGTGCAGCAAACCACCATGGCATGTGTATACCTATGTAACAAATCTGCATGTTCTGTACATGTTTCTCAGAGCTTAAAGTATAATTTTTTAAAAGAATTTTTAAAATAATTTCTTATAATCAGATTATTTCTATTTTCTGCATTTTTTCTCAATATCTCTCATTACAGTAATAAATAAATAAATAAATAAATAAAACAAGCCTAAGCCTTGAGTAATTTTAAAAATTATTCAGATTTTCCAGCACTTGATCAGTCCTGGGCAGTGTTCAATGGATAATGAATTGTGGTCCAAATCTACACTGTAATTCATTTTATCTAATGATTCTGTCAAATTATTAGAAATGCACATTGTGTTGACTTTGATTTGCAACCATTATTCATTTATAGTAATGTTTATTATATATTTCAGTGCAATATTTTTTATTCTATGAATTCACATATTCATAGTGACTTTTTTTTTTTCTTGAGCCGGAGTTTCACTCTTGTTACTCGGGCTGGAGTGCAATGGCGCGATCTCGGCTCACCGCAACCTCCGCCTCCTGGGTTCAGGCAATTCTCCTGCCTCAGCCCCCTGAGTAGCTGGGATTACAGGCATGCGCCACCATGCCCAGCTGATTTTTGTATTTTTAGTAGAGACGGGGTTTCACCATGTTGACCAGGATGGTGTCGATCTCTTGACCTCGTGATCCACCCGCCTCGGCCTCCCAAAGTGCTAGGATTACAGGCTTGAGCCACTGCGCCCGGCCATAGTGACTTTTTATTTATTTTTTAAATTTTTTAATTTTTTAGAGACAGGGGTCTCGCTATGTTGCCCAGGCTGGAGTACAGTGGCTATTTACAGGCGTGATCCCACTACTGATCAGCACGGGAGTTTTGACCTGTTCCATTTCCGACCTGGGCCGGTGCACCCCTCCTTAGGCAACCCAGTGGTCCCCCGCTCCCGGGAGGTCACCATATTGATGCCGAACTTAGTGCAGACACCCGATCGGCATAGCGCACTACAGCCCAGAACTCCTGGACTCAAGCATCCTCCCACCTCAGCCTCCCAAGTAGCTGGGACTACAGGCACGCACCACTACATCCAGCGTGACTTTTAACATGTAAAAAATAAGAAGAATTAATCTGAGTCTGCAATTCTCCCAAAATAATATAGGTGAGATCTCATGGAATGTTATTCCTAGGTACCATGTGAATTTTTCTTGTATGACTTCATTCAAGTTGCATGATACCTAGAAGAGCTTCTTTGGACTCTGTGGGATCTTTTTCTAATTACAGCGAACATAAGTTGTTATTTATTTTGGATTCTTTTGCTTGCATTTTGAAGAACTTCAGGGAAGAGAAACATAAAACTATAAATTTTAGTACAAATCATTTATGAAATGTTGGTTGTGTTCATATTGACATGCCACATTGTCCTTGTTATATTGTAGGCTGTCAATGTATATTTAGATTGACTAACTTCGCTAGTTTATTATTATCTTGTGATACTGTTTTCCAAAATGTCTTTATATGCTTTAGAGGTCATAAATTATTTTTCTGGAATAGTTTTGAAATGTAATTTTAAAATAGGCATGAAATCAAATGAAAACAATAATTAATACTATTTATTATGTCTCTATGCTAGGCACTGTGCTAAATATTTGACTTAATAATTCACATTTCATTCTTATAGTGGCCTTGAAATTGTTTTTAATCATATCTATTTCTATTTTACCAACAGAAAAACTGAAAATCAGAGAGGGTATGTGTCTTAATTAATTTCTACTACTTGCAGGTAGCAAATTCAAATTTAGGTTTGCCTGTCTCAACAGCACATACTCTTAGTCATTATGTTATCTAACTGATTAGAATTCATGCTTTTTTAACCATTCCAGGTCCATCGTTTATAATTTGAAAATCTATTTACAAGATAGTTGTGAACTAGAGAGTAGTGTTTTATGTAAATTTCTTGATTTAGGGAATAGAGTGGCTGAAAATATTTCTACATGACTTCATTCATTCATTTATCCATTCAACCAATTTTATCTTATGTGTCTTTCTCTGAAAGACAATAGTCTTGGTGCTCAAAATAATATAAAAAGATGTTATACTCAGAATTTGCTTTTAGAAACTTATAGTTTATTATAGGAACTCCTGTATAGTGTAATTCAAACTGTAAAATATAATATGAAGTTGTTAGTTTATGGAAGAAAGGGACACTATTTAAATTTTGATTATCCCCCAAACTTTTCCACATATACAGTTTAAGTTCTACTCACATTTTGCTTTATAATTGTTTTCTAGATTGCTGGTAATCTGTGACTGTCAATTTAGCAGTTCTCCATCATAATTTGTATTTTTGCTACCACTGCGTCTTCATTATGTAACCAGTTAATATTGTCCACTGTCTTCTCATATTTTACATACATTAGAGCAGTATAGCCTTTTAAAATTTTTATTTCATTTCAAAATACATTATTTATAATTTGTATTTTTTATAGTTAAACTGTTTATTAATAATAGGTTACTATTGGATTTTTTTTTTTTTTTTTGAGACGGAGTTTCGCTGTTGTTGCCCAGACTGGAGTGCAATGGCACAATCTCGGCTCACTGCAACCTCCGCCTCCTGGGTTCAAGCAATTCTCCTGCCTCAGCCTCCCGAGTAGCTGGGATTACAGGCACGCACCATCATGCCCAGCTAATTTTTGTATTTTTAGTAGAGACGAGGTTTCACCTTGTTGACCAGGATGGTCTCGATCTCTTGACCTCGTGATCCACCCACCTCGGCCTCCCAAAGTGCTGGGATTATAGGCGTGAGCCACTGCGCCCGGCTACTGGATTTTATAGCTTTCCATCTTCAAAGCAGTCAGACACACACACACACACACACACACACACACACACACACACACGCACGTTTTGTTTTTCAGCTCACTGATCTTAATTTACTTGCAAAGTCTGTAGGATTCACATTGCTGAGGTTTGCCTCCTGGGCAAGGAGAAAATAGTCTTCTGGGCAAATTATAACATCCATTAAAGATTCTAATCTATTCTGTTTCTTTTCTTCATCTTTAGAGAGCTCCTCCTTTATATCATTATATTCTTCCTTAAATACCCGTTAATAACCATGCTATCTTTACTTTTGTCAAATTTTGGGAAGCATCTTGTGCTAACTCTTGAGGTGGCAAAGAATAACTATAACTGATTAGGTCAAGCCACAAGAGATACATATTAAATACAAATTAATATGCCTTCAAGTTTATCATCCCCAAAATATAAATATTGAATTTTAAGAATATTATATTTTTCCTAGCCAAATTCAATGTACAAGGAGAAGAGTACATGATAAAACAGCATATGAGAGATGAATGCCAATTACCACCCAAAGGACCAAACACAAATTTTCAGAAAGAGTATAATATACAATCAGGAAACTAGAACAAAATTGTGTTTTCATTGTAGAGAAACAATTTAAATCTTGCTACATTTACACATGTTTATGGAAAAACACATAGCTGAATGACTGTCAGTACAGATGGATTTGTCTATAAATGGGTAAATTTTGGAAGGATTTTAATGATCCACTCTACTTTCTTTTTAATGAGCTACATCAACGTGTTTACCTCAACAATGTAATGAATTCAGAGAATCTTGAACTTGAATCCTTATTTTGGTCTCTTGTGCTTATGTGTAAAATTATATCCTTTATATATCTACAGGAAAAGGATACATTTTCCTACTGTTTTTTTCATGAGTATATTAGAGTAAATAAAAACATGATGAGTATTATGAAAATAAATTATTAACTTTATACCTACTATGCTGGTCATAACACTTCAGGATATTAAAATATAAAATATAAAGACCACAGTGGTTTAGTGTAAAGGAGTTTCTTCACATGTTAAATATTTATAACATTTTGAAATTAAAAATCTATAATTGTACATGAAGAGTCATAAGAAAAGCAGGTCATCCTATTGATTAGTTACATAAACTGTATGAAGATCTGGAGCATGGAGATCTGCAAGGCACATGTCAATTTATACAAAAACTCCAGATATTTTATATTTTAATAGCTCAAATTTCTGATCCACAATGACGCTGCTTACACTACTAAATAACAACATTTACTAATTTAATAATTTTTTAAAGCACTCAGAGACAAACCTAATGGGCAGTATAAACACAGTTTATCAGTGAAACCTGAAAAACTGGATGAAAAGGTTTAGGATTATAAAATTTGAAACCTGAAAAACTGGATTTAAAGAATGTTTAAGATTATAAAGCTCATTTGATATTTGTTGTGTCTCAGGTATGCGATTTCAGGTTGTTTTTAATGTCCACTAGGCTCATTCAACTTTATAGAGTATTTTATTTCTATAGTAGTATGTTAATGGATGAGGGTTTCAGTAACACCAAGTAATTTACTACAGACAGCAACTATTGCTATGCATAAATGGCCAAAAATTCAAATTGAAGTCTAAGTAATGAGTTTAATGAGATTTCCTGTCAGAAAGTGAATAAAGACTAAGCTTACTTCCAGAATCTGTGGGCATGGAAATATCCCTGTTTGACCCACATCTGTATCATAGTTAGATACTATCACATGCATCTTCAAGGAGTGTGAAACAAATTATTTTTATCTTCATCTAAAGATAGAGGAAATGAGTAAGTTATTTTCAACTTTCTCTCAGTTTCTGACACTTATACAGTGACCCGAAAACTGAAAATATATCTCAATTTACAATTCCAGGATAGAGACATAAAAAATGGAAGAACTCATCAAAGCATTCAAAGTTCCTAGTTGAGTTCTCTAGAAAGGACAGGGTGGCAAGTATTTAGACAGTTTTTCTGTTACTATGATCTAATGGTAACTAATGATCATAGAAAATGTGTTAGGTATCAATCCAAAGGGCTTTTTAGATAACACCTGAAGCCTCAACTCACAGCCAGTATCTTAGCAGTCATACATATACACCATTAATTTCTGTGTATTTTCCTCTTGTACATAGGCAGACTTATTTTTCCCTTGTTTTCTCATTCATCAAGTGTGCCTTAATTGCCCAAACCATCATTTTTATCAATGGACTATACTATCTGTGAGTCAACAAGCCATAAACTGAGCAAATCTATCAGTTAAAAAATTATGCAGTGACTCAAATTGATGATCCAGTTTATTTTTTCGAGCATCCTCATTGATCTCATCTATGAATCAGTTTGCTGCCAAATATGTATATGTGTGTTTCAGTTTCACTATAAGTTAAAGATTCATTTTTTCAGAGATTTCGGTAAACCATCCTAGTTGACTTGAAGGAACTCTTCCTGAAATACTGGTAAGTAAATATAAGTTTTGGAAGTTTGCTTAGGATCTTATTTGAAATAAAGGCAAAGTTTTAAGTTGTCATTTGGATTGAGGATTCAGAAAAGTAGTATTAACATTATGGTGAAGAATATTTCTAGCATGTTTAATTACAATATGTGGCTAAAGTAAAACAAATAGGCAATAACAAATGATTACATACTTGGAACAAATGAGAAATATTCAATTATTAGAATTTTTGTTAAAATATTAACATTATTATCAGTAATCTTTAACATCATAGGTTCAGCCTTTTATCAAAATTTGAAACTAATTTTATAATGCTAACATCAATTCTACAGAACTCACCAATACAGCAGGAAGTTATTCAGTTTTTATATCTACATTGCATTTGTATCTATCTTCAAATTTTATTGATTCTTTACAGAATTAATTTGCCTTTCTGTTGGCTACTGTAAACATGTTTTGTTTATACCCTGCAATTAGAAATAAATAAATAAATATTCTGTTAACTTATGATACTCGGTTCACCTCATCATCCTACATGTGTACCTCTTGTCCCTTCAAATCATCTGGTCCCAATAATCATGAATCATGCCAACAAAGAATATGTTAGTTTTCTCTTAAAGCTGTAACATATTACCACTGAGTTGGTAGCTTAGAAAACACATATTTATTTTATTATAATTACAGAGGCACAAAGTTTCACTGGGCTAAGATCAAAATGTCAGCAGAACTGTGTTTTATTCTGGAAACAACAGGAGATAATCTATTTTCCCAACTTCTAGAGGATGCTTGCATTCCTTTGCTCCTGGCCTCATTTCAGTAGTTACATCATTCTGACCTCGGCCTCCACTGTCACACCTCCTTCTCTGACTCTTACTCTCCTGTTTCCTATAAGGACTCCTGCAATTATTTTGAGCTCACCTAGATTGTGCAGAGTAATCTCAAGAGCCTGAAATTAACTACATCTACAAACTCCCTGTTGCCACATAAGGTGAATTCACAGGTTTCACAGGTTTTGGCAGCCATTATCTGCCTAACCAAAAGAGTTAGGCATGTAGGAAGGGTTCCAGATATTTTTTAAAGAATTGAATAGAAGATTTTCAGTTTTATGCATATATGTAGATTTCCTATGTTATAAATGGTGTTTACAATGTAAATTTAAACTGGCTTTTCCTGGCTCATATTCTCATTTCTCTACATTGCTATGCACTTATTTATTGTTACTGGTTTTTGTTGATCTTCTCTAGAATCTGGCATTTAAATAAATATTTGTTTGGGGAATGAAGCAACAAAGTTAGTTAAAACTTTTTAATATTAGAAGAATAAAATAAATTATCCATACACATTTTGGACATTAATAATATTTTACTTAATTTGCACAATTAGTCTTTGGAAAATGTGGATGAGAGATGGAAAGCATATGTAGTTTTTATACATTTTTTCTTAAGAAATTACTCTGAGTTTTAGCACTTAGATGGTGATCTTATTTTTCTTTTGTTTTGGAAGATATGGTTATTTATTAAATGGTCATTTTCCCCTACACTAAAAGCCATAAAATCTTTTGAAATTTGTATATTGTCCACAATGCTATTTTAGTGGAGGTTCTTTTAAAGGTTTATAGTAACAAACCAAAAAAGAGATATTTAACCCAGTGACTGTTTCATCCTTTGCATAGATGAGAAAAGTGACTATGTACTTATCTGCCTCCTGAGTGGCTAAATTTTTGCATTTCAATGTGTTTCTATCATGTACAGTCCTAATAAACTATGAGAGTTATGAATGATTATGAGAGGTACAAGTTACTTTCTCTCCTGACAATATACAATTCTTTCTATTTTATCCTCCATTTATATAAATTTTATACATGTCTTATCTTTACATACAAAGATGGGAAGAAATAAGCAAGCTGATACTTATTTTGTAAGTATCAGGTCACAAAATAAGTATAAGTAGATAATACATACTGAGCTCCTTCTGTATGCTAGGCACTTAGTACCTCATAATATCTACCCATTTAATCCTCAAAGCAACCCCATGAAATAGATACCTTTAAGACCTGCTAGTTTACAATTGTGGAAACCTGAAGACACAAAGCTTAAGCAACTTTCCCAAAATTGTATTAATAGCCACTAATGTGGAGGAGTGATTAGCATCTAAGCCAAATGACTTCAAGTCCACATTCTTAGCTGAAACAGAAATCTATCTTTATTAAACATGCGACATGGAGCTAAGTTTCTTCATCTATATTCTGTAAATTGGTCATTATAATAAACATTATAAGATTCTTAGTTCCCAAAAACTAACAAAAAAGGAAACAAAAGACAGCCTGTGATGTAAAATGTAAATGTGCCAAGTAGTTTAAAACTACGGACTTTACAGCATTTAGTCAAGCTTACGATAATTCCAAACTACTCATGAACAAATTTCTGAAGGATATAAAGGTGAATTAGAGACTGCTGTTGCCATTGTTGCATTGTTGTTGCCTCAAAGGAACCCACATTCTAGAAGGTCTGGTATGACTTATAGTAAATCTCCATATAGCCTATGAAATATTGTTAATAACATTTTCAACCCTTCTGTCCCCACAAAAACAGCCTCATTAGTTTTATGCATATGTATATATATATATATATGGAGAGAGAGAGAGAGATTTCCTATTTTATAACTGGTTTTACAATGTAAATTTGAAATTTTTGATTTTTCCTGGCTCATTTTCTCATTTCTTTATACTGCTATGCACTTATTTGTTGTCTATTGTTTTTGTTAATCTTCTCTAGAACCTGGCATTTATTTATTTGTTTGGGGGAAGTAGTTTAAAACCATGGGCTTTCAAGCATTTAGTCAAGCTTATAATTAAATTTCTATGGCAAATTCTAATGTGAAACAAAGGCCTCAAAGATATCTGTTCCAGACCTGCAAGACACATCACAAAGTTGTCCTTGTTACTAGTGTAGCCTTTACTTCATTGCTATTTTGGAAACTTAAAATCCATCTATTCCTTTGTACTTAAGTTATTTTATTAATATTTTTGATGCATTATTCCTATTGAATAGGGGTCATCTTCAATATTCCAGCACCCAATCCTAAGAATAGTGATTCTGATTTGTAATTACTACCTGGTAACTGGGACCTGACTGCTTGCTGAAAGAATTTGTCTATGCTGACACCCTGCTAACTGACCATACTTTGTGAATAGACTCCAGTCTGCTTCTTAGTGACTGACATCCTTTGACTAGCTCAGTTGAACTTAGTTAAACAAAAATTTATTGAGTGTAAAATGATTTAATATCCAGTCTCTGGAGTCAAATCTTGGCTCCATCATTTACTAGCTGTGTGGCTGTGAGGCAGTAAGCAACCTTTGTGATTCCAGTTTACTTGCCTCTAAATAAAATAACAAAAACAAACCAATGAAAACAAAAGCAACACAAATATTTGGCCTATTTTATGCATATAAACTTAAGAAAAAAATAAGAGAATCAGTACCCGAAATGACAAAATCAACAACTGTGTCACAATCCATGAGAATATAGAGGGAAAAAAAGCAATATATTTATGCATATTGCCTTCTTTTCATATCTATCCAAGATTTTATATTGGAAGTGTCATGTCTGGCATGATACAGGATCTAGTAAGACTGAAATTAGACAGAAGTAGAAGGAAGAACTGAGTGAATGCAGAAATCTAAGAGACATAGTTGTAGGGAGAAAGCATGGTCATATGTGGTTTGATCAGGAGACATGTCAAAAAAGGAAGGAGCCAGCATGAGAAACTAAGTTGAGTTACCTAGGAAAGCAGGTGAGATGACTGGAGACTGCACCTGGGACAAGCTATGAGTAGAGACATTTAATTATGCAGGTTGACTTCTCTTCCCTCAAGTCACTTTTAATGAGCTGAGAGTCTGAGGTGGCTGAGATTCCTTTGACAGCAGCGTCGTTTGGTTCACGTTCTGCCCAGCGTCTAACAGGAGAAGCAAGGTCTCTAGAATCCTGTGTCCACTGTAGTGTCAGAAAGTCACAAAATCATAGAAAATTCTCTCATTTTCTTTTTACATTAGAAGACCAGTTTCTATGCTGTCGTACTTTTCTTTCTGAAAGTTTCAAATATTTCAAGGATTCTATTGTGCAACATGGATAAAGGGGAAAACATTCTTGGTGTACCACCTTTTTGTTGAGATATATACTGTCATCAAACAAAGTTTTATACCCACATGGGTCACACATGAGAAGCAAGGTAAATTTCTAATTTTGTTCTGGATAAAATTGAGAAATTGCTGGAACATCAGTTGAGATCATGATTTTGCACATATGCTGCAGTGGCTTTGATTCCAGCTTATAGAATTTTATTTAACCTGGGAAGATAAAACATTCTATTCTTTCTCAGATGAACAGGATATCAATTTTAAATGGTGGGCTCATGGTCATATCTTCTTTTCCTAACATATAGGAGATGTTAGAATGTTGGTGTGGCACTCACACATGACACATGGGGGCTGGACTAGGGTGGGGCAATGGGAGTATAAGTAAGAGTTTCCTAAAGTTCTTATCAAGTATAATCAGAAGTAAATGCAAAATAAACCAGCTTTTATGTATAGTTCTCACTATTCCTGAAGGCTATTCTGGATTATATCATTCAGCAAGCTTCCTTCAGGGCCATAGCTGCATCAAAAAATCAAGGAAAATTTCAGTTCGGTGGCAGGATTGCTGTACATATTAGAAGTGATTAGCTGCATTCATGAATCCATAATCACACCTGCAAATGAGGAATGAATCTATAGAAATAGGAAGAATTTTCAGACCCATGAATATGCATGCAGTGTGTGTTGCCAGAAATATCATAATAAAAATAGTTTGTAAGTATCCAGGATCCAGCAATACTGCTGTTATTTTCCAGATGTCAGAACTCAGCCATTTTGACTAAAACAGATAAACCTGAAGTTCAGTATTGAGAAGTCACCATGCATGGTCTAATTTCTGAAAAGCCAGTTTTAGGTGTGTAGAGACACATAACTACTCTGAGAATTGGCTTCAGTTGTACCAAGAAAGCTCAATACCCTCTTACCCTCTCTATATATCCTCTCTCCCAAAATAATACTTATGTGTTGGCTAATGCCTGGACTTTTATTTATTAAAACTTTACTTTTATTAAGGCTATGTTTATAATTTTTAAATGATAGAAAATACCCCATGCCCACAAATTTAAAACAAACCATGCCATCAGTCTTTTAGTCTTAAAAATATAAATTACAGATTCTCTCTTAAGTGACGTTTTTAATAGAAAATATTAGAGATAGCATGAGGTTTGGGAACTTGGGTTAAATATATGTTTGTAATATTGTGATTAAGTCCAGATGAATATATTATATACACCTGAAGACACACAGTACTTTCTGATTCTCTAACCCATTTATAAGATTGCCTTTACACTTGCATTACTTTCTGAATAATGGCAACTGAGAATTTTGGATGTATACAAATAAGGCTTATTCAGAAACAAATACCACCCACAC